CGGAAGCTTTTGGAGAGCTCTCCGTACACTCTCACACGGCCAGAAGTCTGAGAATACAAAGAACGTATTATATTTACAAACTTCCGGGGCATTCGTTGGTGGGTAAGCGTCTCAAGAAGAACAGACCGATCAACCGAGTCGGATGCGCATCGGAAATCCAGGAATACTAGAATTGTGGTCCGTTTATTCGGTGCAAAGTTTGAACACATTCGCCTATTCAGACATGGTCATTCAGGCCAGCTGAGCATATCATTTTCAGGACTTCCAATTCCCGTAGAAACGTTTGTGTGGATGAACAAAATCAGAGCATGAGCTCGGCTGTTAGAAGCACAGAGATGTGGGGAAAAATTCTACGAATCACACAGCCATCCACAAAAAGCAGCCAACCAAGAAGACCGTCACTTCCCGGAGGAACGGTGGAAACACCATGTATATGGCACAAAATTAATCTAACTCCTTGAAGAACTAATAGGCTCTGATATGTGTCCGGTTCTGAGGTAAGATCACGAGATCTAGCCCACAGGCGACAAGAAATGTGAAATAATATTTATATATAGTCGCTCGCACCTGAGGGTATTTTTGATTGTCTCCCTGTAAAGGTAATATAAAATTGGCTGTGGTACAGAGGTTGTGAACACAGCAATCCAACACCGACTACTAAATTGGTTTGACCACATGCTATCAAAGCCACCCTAGAGATTCCAGAAACAGTAAATTTGGGACTAAACGTGCTTTGGCTGAGGTGTCAGTGTAGTGGACAAGTTTACCTGTGGCCTAAGATGATTAGATCTGGTCTCTTGAATTTCAATAAATACCAATTTCACGGCCTTCGTCATCTGAAATCGTGTGTAGAGTGGGCCAACTTTGCTTATATCACAGTTGCTGGTTTGAAGTAACCAAACACACCAGCAGAACAGATCTATTTTCTGCGTTAAAAGAAAGTAAGTGGGCAACAAATCCTTTTAGCAGCTGGGTTACCGAGTTTTACTTTACTGAATGAGACAGATACTCTTCAGAAAATATTTTATTCATAACACTTGAGTTCAAAAAGGGTTCGCTTAGGTTGTCACGATCTATTTGTATCAAGTATGTTACATTTTTTACTTCTTGTAGGCAGAAAACAGTCAGGAAAAGAAAACATCTTCTGGGAAAGGTAAGCTAACATTTTTAATCTTTGTGGGCTGTGTCCAATAGCTGTGATCTGTATTCACTAGTTACATGCTTCCCAATGCGCGCCAAACCTTTTTTTACGGTTTTCCGTCAGTACTTTTGTGCGAGCTCATACATCCACATTTCAAAAATGTGGGAGAGAAAAACACGGGAAAGAATTCTGTGCATCATAAAGAGGCTTGGTCAGTGTGACGCATCCTACGTTCTCAAATTTGTATGCGTCCTAGTTACATTCTGTGCAGAGTTCCCAAGCAAAACTTAATTTTTCCAATTAGTAAACAATTGGGCGGATCATTGTCTATTTGCTGTTGTTGTGTAAGATGCCTTTGTACCCATATGGCGATTAGAGTATCCCAGTTCATGTAAAGTGAAATTTGAGCAAGTTTTCCGGAAAATTGCTTGCCTGTCGTTCATCAGATGTATTAATTCAGCACGATATAGGAGTTCCTAAATCTTGCATAGTATATTTACGTTTTTTTCAAGTGACTGAAAAAACGGGTTGCGACGTGATTTGGGTATTGACGAGTACGAGTGGTGGAGTTCGCAGTTTTATTAAAGGTTACATAATTTCTTTACTTCAGCCATGTGTTTCAGCAAATGGATTAACAGCAAAGGCATCAAAGAGTTCAGGTCCCCACACAATGAACCAGGACGTCAAAATGAATAAAAGTGTACCTCCTGGATGCGCGCTCGAGATTAGGTATTTACTATAAGCCCTAAAATACAGTACTTACACGGACGCTTTTTGATAATTGCTTTGAACAGAAAATGCTAATGCGTAATCCGCTTTACGTAACAACCTTTGAGAGAATGTTTACACGGTTTTCCAGGGACGAAATTCACATTATAAGTACTTTCCTCGCTGAATGTGGACCGTAATGTGAATTATTACCAGCGAGCATGTGATTGCAATTTCCAGTATGATTTTGAGTTAAAAGTTTAACGTTACTGTTCTTATGAACTGGTCCCATTGTTCTTTTCACATATGGTTTCTGCGTACACTTGACGGCAGAATCTCCAAATTCACCCGAACTAACTGACCGGGTTCGCGTTCGATTCGACTACGACCCAAAGCAGCCAGATGAGCTGGAATTGCAGGTGGATGACATAATTCAAGTGATGGACAGGTCCTTACCAGATGATGGCTGGTGGAAGGGTAGGAATCTCAGGACACGAAAAGTGGGTGTATTTCCAGACAACTTTGTAGCGCCAATCAATGATACCAACAAGGAAAATGCGGTGGAATCTCCCACAGTAAGTTACTTGTTACAAGATCCGAGAAAGAGGCCTTGGGCTGATTACAGTGGTCACAGTTTTATAGACTGCTGCTATCTAAGATGGCTATTGTTACTGAGTCACTTTTCTGCACCTAACGATGTAGAAATACGATGCAAGTCATTGGAAATGTTGCTTTGGTGTGTGAATCAAAGAGGAGCAAGTAAACACTGCCAAATTTTGCCTCCAAATGAGGGAATTACCGGTGAATATTTACTTATTCACAGTTTGTCTACACAATTTGGGTGAAATTGTGGTGCAAATCGCAGATTACTGGAAGACTTTTTCACACTGATTTTACCGAAATGAATATGTGCCCTGACATTTCATATCACCTGTTTACTTCCGGTCGTCCAATTTGTAAGTGAGTCTCACGGGTACAGCTGGATGCCAGGCAGTCATCATAGATGTATCGCGAAAGATTTGCGTAAAGTTTGAAATTTTTGACTTAAGTATTCTTAGTGATAGATTTCCGGGAAACCAAACTACTTTGTGCTTTTAAATAAACTTAGAATTTGAACTAAGCCAACGAATAAGGAATTAAAAAGATCTGAACTGATATTTGCCAAATTTCGTTATTTGTTTTCGTATTGCTTCCATTATTTCTTGGAGAATATTCACTGTGTGTTTTTGGTCAAACCTTCACTGTTAGTTAGCCACTATCGGTCCAGAGTTACAGCTTCACCTCCTAAAATCCTAGCTATAGCCTCTTTGGTTTATTTACGGCCACTGTATTTGGTAAATGCATTAAGCAACCAAATTTGTTTCATACGTATGAGCCTTCTTTTGTGCAGTAAAAATTTTTTGAAGAGTAGTCGGTCCTAGGTAGTCGGTAGCGGTCATGTGGTTACATTGCGTTGCCAGGACATACTTCGCTACTGGTCTTGCCTGAATCCCTCTGTAGCTTGGCCGATTGTGCACAGGAAGCATGAAAAGGGACACACTGAACAACCAAAAGACTTTTGGACGAATAAAACCCTCAGCTAAAAAAATAGTGTGCTGTTGGTGAGGGAAGATTTCGGGATCTTTATTGGAGATTCCGTCCTCACGGAAGCATTGTGCTTTACGGCTTCTCAAAATAGACTGACCTCATGGACCGGACAAAAATCCTTTGAAAAAAGGGAGTTTTTCCATTTATAAGGTCAAATCACCATTCGATATTTTAAACACCTCACTAAACAGGGATTTTCAAAGATTTATTATTTGTCCCACGAGTATTATCCATTTTTTAGATGAACCATCATACATTCCTAGTTCGTATAGGCACGAACCTACCCTTGAAATGAGCCACATCACGAAGTATGGATAGACTTTTGGTTCGTTTCTGTGAGATCAGAAAACAAGTTTTGATGGAAAACAAAAAGGACGGTTGAGAACAGTACCTGAGTGCTGTACTGAGTTTGTGAAATAGACAATTAAAACGATCTTTGGCCTACCACTTAACTGCCCCAAAACTGGAAGCTTGCTCCAATGTAGGGATGTCAAACATACCCGTGAAACGTCATACGACTTCTGCCAATTTCGCGATGGTAATAACAATATCAGTTCCTTGTGTATTTAAAGCAGAAAACACATCCTCATGAAATCGGCTTTACTTTCATATTTTTCTACACTCAAACGGTAGAGTATTTTACTTTTGTATATCGCCATTTGAGTTGTCGCCAGAAAACATTGCCATATGCCTGGCTGGAATAAATGCGCATTGTACCGAAATTGTGGAACCTGTCGTATCACTGATTACATTGATGAGATGAATTGGAACCCATCCCGGTTTTATTTGGACAAATCTAACAAAAACTCAAAATAATGATTGAGAGAAAGAAGGCCAAGCACATAAATGTCACATTTGCTTAATCTAGAAGTAGAATCCTTGTTACGTTTAGAAGAGCCAAATGTGAGGACACCGCTGGCGGTAACTGTCTCAGTTCATAGTGCTTCAATAGCACGATAAACAAACCAAAATATATCAATCAATCATAATATAAGAGATTGCACTCTCATTAGCCAATAAGAAGAACACTTGCTCAGGGAACATATTTCCGTTGCGAAAGTTAACTGATAGATGTGTGAATCTTACAGGTTTCTGAATTGTTGGTACGATACTCGGAATTTGGTGCAATTCATCCGAATCGAAGTGAAATCTTCGGCTTGTCAGAAACACAACATTTGTAACACACCTTTTGTCAAAAAACGCGATTTATTGTTGCACTATGAATGCCAGAAATGTACCTTTGGTGAAAAACTTTGGAACCACGTGCTTGAAACAGAAGTAAAATATACAACCCGTATTCTGCTTATCAGAAAACTGTTTAGCGAGGAACTTTTTTGTCCTCATTATGAGGTTGAAACTCACCGCTGGTTTGCATTTATTTTCTTACCAATAGAAAATTTTCAGGCACACACATTTAATCTAACATGCATCACATGTGTCTCAATCAGGCTATCCACTGAAGAGATGACCGCTGTGTGATCGCAAAATTCGACTTGACATCCCAGTCGGAAATGAAGTTTCCTCCTAGCTTAATCTAGTACTGCCAAAAGCCTCAAACTGTGAGACAGTGTGGCCGGATTTCTTTTCAAGACCAGACGGCAGAATGTTGAACCTGAAAGCTGGTTCTGACATCAGCCCATTTGAAGTGCACTATTCTGGAAGGCATTCAGTGATGTTGTTTAACTTGCTGTCAACAAAGGTCATTTCATTAGTGTGTCTATCGAATTCCAGCACTTGTATGGTATTTGTTGTCTATTCGTTTGTACTGAGTGTGCTTGTGCTGGTACGTGACAGTACACTAAGCCACTTGGCTTAGCTGATACATGAGGCAGCCTGCTCTATAGGGTTGCTCCAACTTGAAGCAAAAACCAACCATCTCCAATTATGTGTGAAAGGTTGATGCAGTTTATTTCTGAGGTTGAGTGTAGCGATCTATTCAGGAGCGCTTCATAGTAGTCATATCATGGACTATAAAGGACTCTTAAAATTGTGACGCTCTGTTACCGCTTGGGCACAACGGGGTGTGTCGAAGTTTGAATCTTTCACATGTATGAGATATGCGGGTGTTTATCTCGAGTAGACCTTGAATTAGGATTGTCAAAACCAGGTACTCAACATAGTGCCGATCACATACTTTCTATACGGAGTTTTAAATTTTATCGAGTGCAACACTTTTTTATAAAACCAGGTTGTTACGGGAAATTAGGACCAATTTCCGTCGAACGATAAAGCGAGTAAAAGATCAGAGCTTTGCTTTGACTTAACTGGAGGCAGAGAATTGTCTGGTTGATCAAGTTCGAATTTACGCTATAGACCTTCTTATACAAGTCCAGAATTGTCTTAGCTCTTTCTAATAGCCCAGCATGGGCCAGATTTTCCAAATTATGGTGATGTTTGGTGTACTGCTTGAGCTGTAGATGAACAAATATATCAAAGTATATATACGAATGTACATAAGATGTAATCAAAAAAGAGAGCTTGCTGGTTTTGCTGACTTGGTCTCATGTTCCATATGCTAGTCGGCCAAATTCCTCAAGCGGCTCTTTTCCCATGACCATGCGAAGGGTGGAAACTTGACAGCGGAGTGTGAAGGCCGTTACCAGGAAACTCAGCAGCGCTGGTCATTGTCGTCTCCCTGGATAAGGACCCCAAGTCGGACCACAAAGCATAAGGCGTACCTCAGTCGCTACATCATGCATCCGAGCTGTTGCTTTAGATGTATAGCTCCTGTCCGAAACACCCCGATGGAAAGTCCGCTGACAGCCCTGCGTTTACACGTCAATTAGACCAGCTATCGCTTCCAACGCGTAGCTATCTACCTCACCTCCCCAAATCATCGTTGAGGGAGGTTATGGAAGCTGGAACCACTGTACGGAAAATATGCATTTTTTAGAGCTGCTGGCGATGATTATAGACACGTTCTCTGTTCGAACCATCTACACGACTGAAGGCCCTTACCTTCTGAAATGTGACCTGCCCCTCAGTTTTTCGGGGCTATGAATGCTTACTTCGTTTCTCGTTACATTTAAATAGTAGTCTGTTTTGGGGAATAGTGGAGCAGAGATCACCGAGCTATTCTGTCCCTTTCCGCAAACTTTCGTTTTAACTCAAACCATTAGGCCAGCGTCGTCCCTTTAAGGGTAATAGTCCTATTTTTAGGTCCTAGACTACTTTTCGCGGGAGTGTAAGCTGAATTGAATCACTCTTTTGGCATTTCTCTTTGTGATTAACCGTTGTATTGCACAAATGGCTTTTCAGCTTACCATTTATGCTTTTTTTATTACACTGGGACTTGGAAAGTGGGTTGAAATGCCTTCCTAAGGGTAACAGGAAATCTCAGATGTTAACGCTGATGCGAAGCTTGCTTTTGAGGTGAATTCAAAACGATACTCCTTCTGGACCATTAGATTCGAACTTAAGCGTCTAACATAGGCGATGCGGTTTAAAAAATACAGGGCAATCTTGAACTGAACGTATACCTTTTCTGCTAATTGTTGTACGCTGACATGTCGGTGTTACACAAGGTTTCGGTTGACATTTGGGACCATAGTGGACTCCTCCGCCTGAGTTTCACTGTAAAAAATAGTGAAGTAACATGGCACAAAGTTCTCTAAACGTTTGTCTGTACACATCGTCAATCAAACTAACGCACCGACAACAGCATAAGGCTTTAAGTTCTAGGGGCGAAGACATTAATATACGGTTAAAATGTACTTGACTTGAGGATTTTTGGATGCAGAATTTCGCAGTCACTCAACAAGTAAACGCGGCATCCAGGAAAAAGCCCGTTCACCAATGACAGTCAACATGTTTGTTGATCTAAATAGTCCATGTAAGTGAACTTCCTTGGCACCAGGCTGAGAGTCAAACAAAGTCTTTATACTTTTCACCCCGCACATAACTGGTGGTCCAATTTTCGGAAATTCTCGTGTTGTTTATATAAGCACAAGTTTATCTAAGCCACTACAGAAACTTTGCACCTACGCCAACCGTATGGACCAAGTGGTATGATGAATTTATGGTTACGTAGTTACTTCAGAATTCCATTCTAACGTACCTAGGTTATGTATGTTGTGAGGATTTGAGAAGCTCGTTCAAGCAGGGAATACACGAAAGCTAGTGGTTTTTCTTATTCGCTTGCTTGTACTCGTCGTTGATACCACTGTCACTTAGATTCTGCAATATCCAGGTTTGATTCGGCTTGTATTTTGTCATTTTGCTTGAGGAAATCAGTGTCGTCCGTTCGTTCACTGATTCACTAAACAATTCTATTGCAATTGGAGTGCCTACCTCAGTGAAAGAACCCATGATCTCCAGCAGGGTGTTTGGGGGGGAGGGGTAAGGGAAATGACTATCGAGAAAACTTCGGAATTCTCCATAAGGTTATGTAACGTTTCATTTGCATGCCATTCGAAAACTGCACGAATACCCGAAATGACAGAGGAATATATTGCACACTTAGAATTGGATCAGCTGTAATGTAATCAAGTATCGTTTTTGACACCTACCGGTAAAAAGTTACAACGTTCGAAAATTTTTTAAGGACCTTAGTGATCCCATATCTATCGGGTAACTCTTGATGAGCTGTTTGGACAAATTACCATATTGAAAAATTCAGGTTTTTCGTATTGACTTAGGAAGTGAGAAGCTTCTTCATCCCTTATTGAGAATTGGAAACCGTTTTCCAGAAACTCAGTGACCGCTGATGGTATATGTATTTTGAATTTAGGCGGGATACGGTCACAAAAGTCACCAATGATGGGTTGTGAGTTCTGCTACAAACATTTTGGTAAACTAGCTTCTTTACTTTTAGAGGGACAACTCTAACCCAAGATTTGGTGTGAACTGTTTGGTGCAATTTTATCCATCCGAACTGTTTGTTTTTCGTTGAGTTTCCTTCATGGAATCGGTGCACAGAAGACTCCACCAAGTGTTCTGGAAACCATTAAGCTGCCTCAACGGAATGAATGCGAAAAACCCGTTGGTCAGTTTTCTGAGCTTGGAGTTTTGGTTTCTGTCGGTTGCTTTGTTCACTTAGCTGGGACGTTTGATTGCAAACGGTTCATTGGTGCCTTGTTAAAGAACGGACTGGACCGCAGCTGTGAATCAGTGGTTGTGCTGACTGATCTGGCGAACTGTTAGGATTCCATCCGCTCCCTAACGACGACCTTGTACGCTACATAAGCTACAAAACTTCCCGTTATTTTCGGTTTCTCTCAATTTAAAGTTATTAAGCCAACCGAGATAACACTATTGTCATATCGTTCACAGTTTTCATTCGAATTTTCACGTAGTAAGATGAACATGTTTTGCCACTTTCTTATGACTATTGCCAGAACTGTCTGTTGTAGTAAGCTGGGCCAAGAAAACCGAACAATGTTCGTTTTGTGCGCAGCTAGCTAGTCGAGAGATATTGATTAAACTTTAGGTTAGCACGTAAAAGAAGCTAAATTACGGCACACTGATGGGATGTTTTGTGCCCCGTGGGTGTCAAACAACCAGGTTGACGTTTATTTAGGAGATGTGTATTCACTCGTGAGCCTGAAATTGTGCGCTGCATATTCACCGTTTGTGTGATATCGAATCGTTGCTCACAATTGCTGCAATTCGAATGTGTTTGTATGTTCAAATTCGTTACAGCACAACAATGCATCCGCATCAGCTGGCATCAAACCGGTTGGCATAACAACCACATCGCTTCACAACGGCAACCTCCCCAATACTGGGTCCACTGTTCGGGTTAGTTCGGTCAGTTCACCGTCAGTCACCAGTGGACCGATGACAACCCTTGGTGTGAAAAGCAATGAGCCGCCTAAGTTGGCCACCAAGCCTGTGTCCACTACCGCCATGCATAATAACACATCAGGTGGCAGAGCACACGTCAATGCTTTGGGGAGCTCAGGAACTCACCGTGATACCAGAATCTCGATTACGCATGCTTCCGGACGGTCTGAAAGTAAATTAAATCCCTCAAACCCACCAGACTGCCAAACGAATACCGAGAAAACCGGCGAAAGAATCTCAAAATGGAAACAAACCCCTGATCGATCAGAACAGACTGAACGCTCTATTTCGATAGTGGATGAACGTCGTTCAGGTTAGTTTTTTATTTTGAAAAGACCTGGAAGATTACCTCTTGTTTGTGTATCCATAGCTTCAACAGTTCCGCAGCTGTCCGCTGATAAATTGCAATGGACTGAAGTGAATACATGACAGTTAGATTTTTGAAAATCTCCCCATCCAAACTTTAGACATTGAAATTTTTGGACGCACCCGAGTTTATTGCTTACAGCGTGACTAAACATAAGAAGTGATCAATAGTTTCTAGTATATTCGGACCCCTTCAAACAAAGATTCGATCATTAGAACGGAGCGGATGACGTAAACGTGGGCTCTATTGTACTCATATTCAATTGTTACGAATCAAGATAAGCCTTTACGAATTCCCAGGGACTTGAAATAGTTACCAGAAGAGTAGGTTTTTTTTCAAGAAAGAATACAAAGTGTGATCACACTGGCGGTCAAACTCACATTAGGCTCTGTTTTTCGTTTGCCAACGGACCAGTTTTCGACCTTCAGCAAACTGATGCATACATTGGTTAGATGTTTCCGTGTGTCACGCAACTCATTAAGTTTTTTTGGCATTGTGTTTTCAGCTTACGTAGCGCTGATTTTCACAGTGTACAGCAACTCCCAAATGATACTGCACATCTGATTCGTTCCCACAAAGCCTTTCCCATTCCCGTAAGCTGTGGCGGAACTCTACCTGGTCGAATAAACTTGTTGAATTATTCGGTTTTGGCTTACACAGCCGCGAGCCACTTTAGTGTTAGTGTTTTTCCCAACTATTTGTTCTTATTCTGTTTTGAGAACAAGCCGTACAAAGGATTGTGCTCGCATATGAACAGTTTGCTGCTGCAAAATTTTGTATTTAAAAAAAGTTGAATCAGATCATCGACCCGAAAGCAGTTTACGTAGGATTCTAGTTGCTTCTGGCGGTCCTATGATTGAAAAATGGATTCCTGATAGGAAAAACCAACAGATTGAACTACTGTTTGCGCTTCTTGGTGACTTGATGGCCTAGTGATATCTTGAATCAGATGAAGTACGTAACACTGATGTGAAATCAGATCATATTCATGTGTTGATATGCATTATTCGCAAACACAATTTTGCAATAACGCGAGACCCGAATGAATCGAAGGTGAATCCTTCGTTTCGTCCCAACAAAATGTTCCGTGCATAGGCTCTCTTGTGTTTTAATTAGCTCCGTATTTCAGATATCGGAATGTATTTTTCTTGACAAGGATTGTTGGAAAATTATCATCAGCCCATTTCCAGTTTCACGTTTCTTGGGAGCCGTCATTTCTGCACGGGCTCCGAGTTCCATCAACCGTACGTCTTACTTGAACACCTAATCACTTGATTGTGGAGCCATATGCTTGTTTCGAAAACGAGCTTTGTGCCAATGAGAGACAAAATTGAAGGGTAGAAATAAACCACATCTTAGCACAATTTGTAAAAAGCGAATGTGCATGACGTTCGACGCAACTTCTGCGCTGCTCTGATTAACTAGATGACAGTTTGCCGTCGAATCTTCAGGAACTGAAGCCATCTAAAAGGCGTTTGATCTACAGGTGCAGGTCAAATAAAGCTATCTCGACCAAGCGAAATCACTTACAGAGTGTACAAATGCCACTTTTCTTGTAGCTCAGAGGCCAGACATGTGATTAAAATGGGGGAGTATTCTATACTGAGTTGTAAGTAGCACTTTTTCTTAAGCAGGTCTCGTCTACTGAAATATTGCAGCACGATATTTGAACACTTGCGTAACAATTGTATACTTTCCTTACCAGTCGATGTCGTTCAATTGGTATCTAATGATCTCCTGCAATGCACCAAAGCATCAGTACAAGGAAATTCATGGGTAGTAGTTATCTTAAGAAAAATAAAGCAGAGTTCCTAATTTGTATGAAAACATGAATTTAAGTTTGCGTTTTATGGTGGATGGCCACATTTTTTTCAGCAACAGGGAGTTCCGAATGTTACTCAGTGTGTGCCATGTCTGCAAGTTCCTTGTTTAACGTGTGGCACCCTATATCTATTTTCACCGGTATTTCCGGTTCTCTTTGCCCACGAGTACCTCCTGTACGTGGCCCGCGAAGTATGTCCATCATGATTTAGAAGACATTGCAATCTTATACTTTTGACGTGATCTTGTCTGTCAACTACACACGCGGATATAAAATGGTGTTAAGGTCTAAAAGAATAGTAAGCTGCAATGAAATTGGTCACTGAGGCCAATCAGTGAAGTCGCACCTCAAACTGGAGATTCACTTATGGATCACTGTTGGGCACATTTTGACCTGTGAACCTTGTAGGTGGCGGCCGGTAAAGCGCTTGCACAGAATGCCCCTGATTTCAAAGCCTAGGTTTTCCTGGTCGATTCGCAATTACTGCGACTACAGGCAGTGCATTTTTTTGAACTTCCTTGCGGTGGTGCTCAACAGATTACACTGAATGATTTGATTAGATTAATTTGGTGATTGTATCTATCAGTTGAACAGCAGTCACAATAATCACGTGATTCCGTTTGTCAGAACGTTTTCAGGATGTCGTGCACTCACCTATTCTTAAAGATGGACAGTGTCCTGCCACCTACATGGTTTGCGGGACATTCACAAGCACAAATATGTAGTAGGTGGGCATCTTATCCTTCAAGCTGTTAACGTGCATTAGCCGACCGTCTCAGCAACCACAGAAATCAGAGTTTTACATGCAGTTCTTACACAACGGAAACAGTTATCCATTTTTTGTAAAATGTACGACGAACAAATCTGCGCGTTTTACTCTCGGGACACTGTGGTCATTGTGAAATGTATGGATGGAATCCTTACGTCTTTGCACAAATCATCAATCGTACTGACGGCAATCTGCAGGCTATATAATGTTCCTTTAAAATATGCTTTGGGGCATGAAATCATGTATGCTGTCATGCTCTGAGTTTGAACATTCCATGAAACACTTCAAATTTGCACAGAGTGAGAGCTTCTTACCGGGCATTTTGAATCTTGAAACCATGAGGAGTTTACCGGAATACCTTAAGAAGCATATTACGACGTGCTAACGTGAAAAAGCTTGATAAACTGGCAACTCGAGTTTCGAGATGAGCATATTGATTGCTCACTAAGCTTCTCCCCGGCTGCGGGGAGGAACCTATAAAAGTGAACCTTACGTCCTTAGAGTACTAAATCAGAAGGAAACAAACTTGTTTCTCTGTTTGCGTAATTGAAGCTGATTACATGTTTGTAAGATGTTCACTAATTTAAATTCTTGCTCTTCCCTCATACTAGCTGCACATCGTACTGATGTGTATTTCTTTGTGCTGGCTGCGCCAGGAAACCTAATCCTAGTAATTTTATTGATGAGTGATGGAACACATAAAACACGGTCTCTAATTGTAATAAGTACATGCCTTGATAAACTCAGTAATAATTATGATTTTGGCTCGGACACTTGTGTCGCGCAACTTCATCTTAGCTATTCATCCGACGTAAGTCCCGTATGCTGTGTTCGCAAGATGGTTTCAAGGTTAAAATATTTATTATCAGTATTCCGTATGTCTGTAGAAATGTTTAAGCCGATAAAGCAAAGGTATAGCTCGGTAATATTCGGTGGTCTCTGTTCTCCTATAGCTCGGTATCCCCGGAAATCAGTTCATATGTCTAACTAAACAGATAAATTGCCGAGAGTATGTGAAATATGCTTGATGACGTTGCGTTGTTATTCTAGTGCTACGATCTACCTCCTTGAATGATTCATAAATTGGTCTGCATTTGATGGCGACGAAAGGTCATGTAACCGAGGAGACTCTCATTTGACAAAACTTGTCCGATTGAGACAGGACCTGGCAACTGGGGCTTTAAAATTCGACATCCAATCCATGATATCTTGAATATAAGTGGTATTTTTTAATATTTACTAACCACTTTCGTCCTTTTCCTCGTTCAAATGTTCCAGGTGAAGGAACGGAGCTTTCAGAGGCAAACGGCAATCGCCTGACCGGGTTAACAGCAGACCGGCCAAGACAAACCGGAAGAAGACTTCCCAGCAGATTCAGCCGCTCAACGACACCCAACTCGGTAGGCTGTCGTGACAAATGTAGTCGGAAATGCGATCTGATTTGTCAGCTTTATTCGTCTCCTTTAGCAGTTCCATTCATTTTTACTATGTTACACTCTTTGCTTAATTCTGTCGGCAACTGTCGATGTAGTATTTTTTGTGGATGCTACTTAGCTTCCAAGCTCGATACATCTTGGAACTCGCATTACAATCTTTGTTGGGACACTATTTAACAATCAGGAGGTCCGTTGTTTGAACTTAACGTGGTACCGTGGTTGTTGCGGCCTAGGTTTGGACAACCTATCTCTGTTTCAGCCTTTGTGAATGTTTTAGGGTTTTTTGGCAGCTATGGACCCTAAGGATAAAATAGCCGAACAAATGCGTCTATTTTTTCTGCTTTTCAATACATGGCCGATGTTGAAGTAGAAATCAGTGTAATCACGAGTTTATCCCGGTACCCTTTGTTCAACGAGAAACCGCCTATTCTGTTACCTTTCAATCAATCTCTCTGTTTACTAGGTTTCATAAAAGGTTTTGTGGTGATTTAAATTTTGCGTACCCAGATACCCCTTTTAGACGCCAGGTTTGATACCGTTTATAATCTCGCTCGCGGACCTGCATGTTACTGGAAGTCTCATTTTTATCTGACTACTGCGTGTTGTCAAATTCTTTCCTTAATTAAAACGTGGTCATCAGTCTTTCTCTCTTTCTATTCAGCCGTACAAGCCAGATATACAATTCTTAAAATTTTAGCACTACCACTAAGTTACTTCTGGATGAGTGCTTCCGATATCATAACATGGACAGCATGGGTCGGAACCTGGCAAGTATCGTGGGTGTCTTCATTTCAAAAGCAGCTTTCTGTTTCAACAACCCCCTAATTCGTACCCGGTAGCCAGCAGTTTGATAAACTCCTTGTTAATGTAATCGGGAGTACCGGAACTCAAGCCATGCTTTCAACTTTCCACAGGCCCTTCAAAAATCGTGGTGTTCACGGTTGGTCGTGAGTGATTTTGAGTTAACGCCACCGATAAACTTCTCATTCAACTTATTTGAGACATTATCATCTTTATAGGGATGGCCTAAAGAGCGCTACCCGTGATCAAGCGAACAGAAATCGTACTGACATATTTTGCAGGTCAAACAGCTTTGTATTGCCTACACATGCTTCAAGAAAAACTGCTTTCTTGAAGGGTCCACAAGAGCGCACTCCAGTAACCACTATTAGGCATACATTTCTTTCGAGAAGATCCAGGTAATCGGTTGTTGTGACCATCTTGCTTGAAAAAAATAGGCTAACTCAAGAGAGACAAGGTTGTGTGACGTGAAAAGCTTTTCTCCCAACGGTTGCGAAAGCTAGCTTCATTGCACTGATGGAGTAAACTTTGAAAGAAAAGAAGTCAGTGTGAGACCTGGAAAAGTTTCCCCGAATGGTGAAGAATCGTTTGGTCGAAAAGGCCTACCGCTTCCAATTAGGTTCAAATAAAAATAATATTGACGTTCCGGCTGTTCCTGCATGTACTGCAGGATTCAACCACCATCGCGGGTGGTTGGTGAGAGTAGTTGGCAGTTCAAACTGTGGTATGGCCTTACCGTAGCGCTATAATAAGGGCCCATGTGTTTTTCCAGATCATGGTTTCATATCAAGGTGCCGGGTTGCAGAAAATGGCAAAATCTGTTACAGACTTAAAGGGCTGATTGACGTACAAATGTTAGTAAAAGGTCACTGGAATGTTGGTCCGTTCACAAGAGATCTCACAGATTACGTTTCCGAGGCGTTTTACAGTGGTATGTTAAAATATAATGAAGATATTTTGGTGGCCTCGTGTCGCACTACCTCAGGGCTCCGTCACAAAAATGCCTGCGATAATTTCAATCATAGAGGTAGAATATCAGCGAACAATAGCTCATTTCACCAATAAATGTGCTTGCATTTCCCGAAGATGTTTTGCAATAATATGGTTGCGCTGCATGTGTGAACTAGGCTCGTACAGAGCTTGTGATGTGAAGGTGAATAACGAGTTACTTCCCAAAGAATATGTGGCTTTCTGAAAACAGATGAAGCACCGTCGGCCTAATAATCACTTTACCTCTGTTCTGAAGGAAAATTCCGCTGATCTACACAATGAATCACAATCAGCACACAAGGAGACCCACTTATCTCGATTTCACAACGCATTACCAAGCCGTCAGACCCCAATTCCCTTGGAAGATGTGCGAAGTGGAGCTGATATTGCGGAGCGGCGCGCAGCTGAATTATCCGCAAAAGCGCAGAAAACTCCTCAAAGTAACCACTTGCGGTCTGGTAAGTATGGTCGTTTAAGTATGGTCTTATATCAGACTAATATGATGTTTGCTCGTAATTTCTATCGGTAGCGTTGCTAGCAACTGCTAGAAGCACGATAATCATATTGTTTGCAGAAGACGACATTCAGCGCATAAATTCGAGTTGTTTTATGAACAATTCCTGTTAAAATAGCGACAAGATTACAGTTGATATCGACTAACAGACCTGCTGGTCGAACTCAAATAAGTGAATTGTTTTGTGTTTGAGTCCTCGCGCTAACAAGTTCACTTGTAAAGATTGAGAAATTTGTGCTTACGTCTTCTAGATGGATGGGAGAAGGTGGTATCAATCGGTGAGACTGACAAAGCGTTCATTCATTAGTAGCACGTAAAATTCGACTGATCCGCTGCCGTGTGCAAACCTCGTATTTTTTTTTTATTTGGATTGGATCGTAAACGAAGCAAGCTACTCCTATTTTTTCTCCGGAAATTAAGCGTACTTTTGTACCCTTGAAGGTGAAACCTTCCAGGGTTTGAGTAACCTTGCCCAATCTTAATGGTATTCCAGAGCAAAACGGACTACATTGATCTGAATCTGGGATAAAATCGGTCGAAATCTTAACTTAGATAACTCAGGTAAATTAGAGAGCGTAAAACCTGGTAAGCACAGGGGTAAGTTTTGCTGAAATCCACAAACCACCGTCTCCTGTGTTCGACCCCCTCTAACCCCCTCCTATGGACGAAGGTCCCAGTTTTGATTAATAGCCCTCTCAATCTAAAACAAACCCGTGCGTGCGTTTCATTAATGACGTGCTGGTATATTGAACCGATGAAAAGGTTGAAGAGGAATGAATCGACTCTTGTTTATATCAACTCACAGGAAGTGATATTTCGAAACCGTGAATATCAAAACAGATTAAACCTATAAAAGCCCGTGTGCTGCCCATTCAACTGAAAAGAAAATACTCCGCTTCTGATCTGATTAGGGCTTGTTTGGATCGCCTGGTCAGATCAACTTAACTTAATTAATCACCGAAAACATGTCCTGCTCACTGGCTTTGTTCCCCCTCGTGACCATCGGGGATAAATTAAATCGAATGCAATTAAATTTAATAGGAAAATATCCTCAGTTTTTACCTTTCCAGAACCATGAGTTAACTGGTCTGTAGGGCAGTTTTAGTTTATTTAGTTATCTGATCCAAACATAACCATTAACCCACCGTTAGGCACCACTGATGATGTCACCTCGATTAATGAGGAAACTTTTGCAACCGATCTGCCTAGCTCAGCGAACAAGCCAACGACCATTTCTGATCCAATTTGACGATCCATAATGTCCTAAAAATACGTACTAAGTGGACAAATGAGGGTAAACTTTTCCAAGGTAACTGATTGCTGTATCAGTTGCGTATGCAACGCCCCAGAGTAAACCTGTTATTTCCGCTCAATGCCACCTGTAGAATTCGGTCGTCATAAGTTTTGTATGCACTAATGCCCTGTATGGTCAGATGTTTTTCGATTTGCGCAACTCGGTGGTATCGGTCTGCCATATGTTTATGCTTGTTAAGAACATATACCTACTCATTCTGCTTTACTTTACTTTCGCTCTTCCATTCTTAAGGATAATCGTTGAATAATCCTTGAATAGTACAATTCGCATCTGCTGAGGCACAGCAGCCGGTCGAAAAATCTCGTGAACATCGATTCAGAGTTGGACTTGCGAAAGTAGGACACAGGTAGCTTGCAGACCTAAGCATTTAAAATCGGACCTAACATGATTCGCCAAGGTTTTTGGAGACCGTTTGGCAACACAAACAACGCGGTCTTGGGGCAGGTTGATGTTAAGTATGAGCGTCAGCTACTTGTGACTTGCATCAGCGCTCGGTTTAAAGGATCACGTGCGCTACTGATAAGAAAGGTTACAAGTCAGATAGGAAAGAGATGTCTTGCACAAGATGCATATGTGGGTCGGCCCCCTGGTGCTCTCGAAACCACGTCAGGAACACTATAACAAAGCCCCTCGGTGGTGACCGTTTGTTCGTAACTTCAGTTGCTCCTATCTGGCACGAGTGTTCAAAGGCCTAACTTCATTCAGGTTTTCAACGGTAACACTCTTCATTTTGTTGTTTTGAACTTGACCGGAAAACCTGGACAAGTTGACTTTGCTTACCAGCCTATAAAGGTGCACATCATCCGGCAGCGCAACGGTCGGATCGTCTTAGATAAGTTATGAAATGATTACAAATTCTCGGTTCTTCATCCTGAAATCTGGCTTCAAGAATGAGAAACTCTCATGTTCTGTCAGTCTAAAATGAAATAAAATTGTATATGGAGGAGAAAAATGCCCATGAAAGAAGCAAACTGAATTGACATGTAACGTAATATTTCAAGAATGTAACCTGGTAACAGTATCATTTTCAGCGGCATTTCATCACATTTTTTGTTATATGCTATTCTAATTGGGTGGATCAGTTTTAGCCAAACAGTTGTTTTTTTGTATTCAGTTACCATTGGGTTCACAATTATGTGTATAAATCGTGCGGCGCATCAATGAAGCCGCTTCCTAGCCGCACGGAAATCTGTCGCCGTAAATTAACGGCATATTGACGGCGATATCGCAGGCAAACCTATATCCTAGAAAACCGTACGCCATATAATACATGGGATTTTTTTTCCCAAATTTACCCACCAGCTGACAGGTAGCCTACGTCAGCGTGTTGCACATACATACGCTTTGACAGAAGAAACAGAGAATATGAATGAACAAAAGCGATTCCGCTCAATGCCTTCGTAAAAAATCACCTGATCTATTCAAATGGTGTTCGCAACCTGTGCATACCAAGGACATAAAGTCACACATTTTTAGAGCAGCACAAAGAGATCAGTTGGTTTAAATGCAGCTATGCTGTTAAGTAAACAAAACAAATACTTGCGCGTAACAACAGTGACTATTAGGAACCCTAGGAAACGAACTGCCACAGTCTGTTCACCAACGTTATTTTCAGTTGTTTTAGTTAATTTCAGAAGATAATCGTGAGAGTGGATTGGAAACGAAATAAACATTAGACTTGTAGCGACTTGCAGAGTAGTTCTGTGTAGAACTGTTTGGTCAACCGATCAGAATCGAAAATTGAAAGGAAGGAATGCACAGATAGCATTTTGTGTAGGCTTTTATATATTAACGTGAAGTACTAGTTAGTAACATGCACTTTTTAATTTTTACAACTCTTGTTACAACTCTTACTGGTCAATGAGACATCGGTACGTGCCGCATGTAGTTAGCAACTAACTTTCCGATGCAACCAAACCATACTTTGTGGCCATCTTGGTGCGAAATCGTTCATATGAAAGATCCCCAGTGACGTTATATCAATTGTACAGAACGGTTTCAGTTCGAAGTAATGCGATAAGATATTGTCTATTCCTGCCTGAATCATGCATTTGTTCATGCATATTTTCGAACATTTTCGCTACTATGATGTGGATTGTTCGATAAGCTCAACTTCGCAAGAAACCTACATTCGTCTTACCAAGCTCAGTAAGTGTGTGTGCATTTAGCCCCCTCAGTGCATCGATACTGATTCTTGAGTTATAAAATTCATGGTAGTGTGTAATGGCACTCATTTATAATGGAAGTTATATCGACCACGATTTCCGTCCATACTGGTGAGCAAGACTCGTGTGGTACATAATTCAACCGCTCAATGATTCTGAACCGCGAATTCAAGCCTTGTTAGATGAGCACCAAGACAAGTCCGAGAAGACTGGAACATTGTTGGTTCTGGACCTAGTTAATCAGAGTATGGCAGAAAATAGTCAAATTCCAGGTTGTTTTGAAACACTCTACCCTACCTTTTCTATTATTCTGCCATAGTACAGAATATACGTCTTCTAAGGGTAGGAGACTGAAATAAATGATAAAAGGGTGCCATCTCAAATGATACATTCCAAAGCAAAAATGGATGACCACGTGAAAAGTATACCTAAGCAAATATCTAGTTTCATCCAAGCTGCAAAAATTAGTAGCTCATTTTGTCACAATTCAGCTCAAGTTTCAATGAGTAAGGCAGTTGGCACACATTAAACAACATCGCTGACGCGTCAAATTTGTTGAGGCATACAGGGGTGTTCTAAGAGTACACGGGTCACTTTAAAGGGAAAAAGTAATTCATTGGGAAAGTGATTCTCGAGAACCATAGAAAACATCGTGGCAGTACAAAATTCCACTTATCATGGGATAAATCGGCAGTACATTATAATTTTGCCAAAGACTACTTAACCCCAGAACTAATGTCAATAGTTATAATTCCTTTTCTTAAAGCTTTCAAATAAACATTGTCTATTAGCTATTTCACGCATGAGGCTTTTTATAGTATGGTCTTAATGCTTACTGTGTCCCAGAGGCCTTCCGAGCAAAGTGCGGACTGATCGGGTTCCTATGCTTGGACATTTATGCCCGTCTTGTTCGCACGTTTCCAGTGTCATCTCATTTATCATACACTGCTGGGTTCAGCTATTTTTGCACAGCAGTCTTTGTGGGGCACTAGAAATCTGAGACTGGCATTTTGACGCTCTATAGCCCGTACAAGGAATAATGTTGCTGGGAGTACGCAATCCCTAGGCAGAGTTAAGCTCAAGGCTTGGTGACCCAACTACGCTACTTCATGAGTTCCTTTACAACTTAAATAGTTGAACATATAGCTCGCTTTTCAGTCAGTGGTTACAATTGTCAAACGTTGCAATCGTTTTCGTTGAATGTGGTGAAACTTTTCAGGACGTAGTAAGACAATATTTCAGTGCTCCTTAGTTATAGGCGAAAACCAACAGTACTGTTTATTGTGCGCAAGATCTGAGGCAGTATCTAAGAGTAATGAGGATTGGCATAGTTACCGGTCTGATGAGGAACTCGAACATGGCGAGTAATTAGTATTATTTCATAGAGCTCGGTTCCATAGTATCCGTGCCATGTGTGACCGAAAATTCCACCTGAGAGTCACATGTTCATGCAGCAGTCGAAGAGCATCACACTACCCAATTCACTGTAGCAGAATGTTTGGCGTACCTAGAGAAAGCCTCGCTTCTCCTTGCTCGCTACTTCATCCGCGGGATAACATAAGATCAAGACTTTCTTAGCATTTGATCACCACATTGTTGTTGTAATCCCTAACTAGTGTTCTAGTTAGGGTTAGTTTGATAGTCTGCTGTTGAGTGCAGTGAGTGTGTTAGGTTGAGGCCATTGAGTAATTGTTTTTTAGACTGTTGCAAGCGAGCATTTTTACGCTATTTAGCTTGTTCTACTAAAAAACTGATGACCTTTTCATGCACGGCGTCCGTGTACGCTACTCTATTCAGTTAGTTGGTTGAGGGTTTTCGAAGAGTATTCTTCAGTCACTCCCTTATAATAAAAATGGATCACGTAACGTTAACCGACTTCCACTTTCTCACATACTACAGCTGTTGACCGCTGTTGTGAATGCATGGTGAGGTTTTAAATTCAAACGTTTTGTCAATCATAATGACACCTTCCCCCGATTTGTTTGGGACATTGTGCATGGTGGTCATTCAACATTGAAGTATTTCCTGTTTTATATCAACGGAAGATGTTGAAACACACGAATAAGACTGTCAAACCAGTCAGAACTTTAAAGGTTTTCCTTCTTGGGAGCCAATAAAAAGCAATTTAAGGTCTTCTTTTATCAAACTTATCAGGCGGGAAAACAATTCGGTGCAGCGGTCAACTTTTAAGGTAGAATGGCAAAATACTACTACTACAAAAATACTACTACTACCATATCGTTACGTCTCCATTAACTGAGTTTCCATGTTGTTGTTAGTAAATTCAACTTGCTTTCTCTGTAACGCACTCTCTTACGACCATAACGGCTATTCAAGCAGTGGTAAATGTATACTGCTATATTTCGGATTTATTTAGATCGTCTATCCAGTAGCTTGACCCGTAGGAGTGACTCACCGGTTTCACGCACAGCGTGTCAGAGGACAGTGGTCACGGATTCACACTCAAATCAGACACAAGACTCACATTGTAAGAATTTCGCTAGAAATAACCGTCTCTGGACATCACTACAGGATGCGGAGAAGAGGAAAACAAAGGGTCTGAAGTGAACGCTTCTTATGAGTTTGTCGTTCTGTTTCCTTTATATTGTTAATTTTGAATGTTCATTCATCATTGCGTTGCACCTGACAACTACAATTTTTTTTCAGTGGCTGATGATTTTCCACTCCCTCCTTTTTTGTTTTAGGTGCTCTACCTCGGAGTGAGGGCGGCAGCGGATCAGCTGATTTGACTAGGGCTCCGGAGCTGGCTACACCCCAGTCTGTCAACTCGGATGCAGCTAGACTATCGTTATCCAAGCTGCAATCGAGCTATGAAATGTTAAAAACGCAGCACTCACAGCATTTGATCGAATGCGTGGAACAGACAAAGGAACTGCGACAGCAACTGGAACAACTCAGAGTGAGATTTTATCCTGTGTAGGATAGACCACACGATTTAGGCCAACTGATTAAGTACAATCTAGTAATATCTGGCATGGTGATTTGAATAGCTGTGTATTAACAATCCCTGTCGTTGAAGCAACGAATATCTAAATGTACAACTTCTCACAACAAAACATTCTTGAAGGATTGTTTTCGAAAAAGTTTGGTGACAATCGGTAGATTTATTGCTGGGCAACGCTTCGCTTTTGACACAAAAGCTTCGTCAGGCCAAGTGACTAGGTTCCGAGTTTGATCGAGATTTAAGGCAGAAGGAGAACCAATCAGTTAAGTTAAGCTTAATCTCTTTTGGGGGTCAGCCGAGGGATATGAGTGTGTTAGAGTGGTTGAACAAGTGTTGGGTCGGTGGGGAAACCTACATGTGTTTGGGTCCATCCTAGGTTCTAGTTCTTCTGATTCGTTTCATTTGATGGTTCGTTTTGAACTTCGTTTGAACTTTCTGTCAGTCTGTGTAGATGAGCTAGTACTAACAAAGTTGTGTAAGAGGGATGCTGTGACCTTTGGTTGGTTGGGAATTCCACCCCCATCCCCCGTTTTTTTTCTAATGATCCTAAGTGGATTGACAACCACACCGTCACGTGTCAACCCGGCTTATCTAAGAACGCTTCCATACGATCGCTAGCTCCACACCCTCGATTCTATTCACGCTGTGATGCTTAGTAATTTCCACCGCCTCGGCTATCAGCCGCTGTGGTGTGAATCGCAGTCCCCGTCTTAAAACTTCCACATTCTCCAGATCCATCTTATGTCCCGTGTCTAAGGCATGTACCGCCATCGCTGAGTCTTTGACCAGCGTTTGGTATTCTTCTGCGTTCCTTGGTGGTTTGTTAATCCTTTTTTTACGCTCACCAATTCTGGTGCAATTCCCTGGCACCCTGTCCTATATAAACCTTAGCGCAATCGTTACACAACCCAACAGAGATTTAGCTTAACTTAGCTGATTGGTTCTCCTTCCGCCTTAACTCTCGACCAACCTCGGAACCTAGTCACTTGGCCTGACGAAGCTTTTGTGTCAAAAGCGTAACGTTGCCAAGCAATAAATCTACCGATTTTCACCAAACTTTTTCGAAAACAATGACTACCCAGTCGTTTTCAAGTATATTTCACGTGATTCTTGAAGGATGTTTCTCCAGTTAGCGCATATAACAGAAAAACGGTCTTTGTTCGCCCGTTCTGGTCACTTTCTTTAGAAAAGATAGTCTTAAGCGGTGTTGCCCGAGTATTTATGTCGGTAATTTGTGTGAATCACCAAACTTTTTACGCCAAAGCACCCTTTTACTTGAACTTTGACGAGCCAGTCCGATATAGGATTCTATCAACGTCGTTAATTTGTGCATCTTCAACTCGGCAATTGGAATTCAGAACTGATCAAGCTATGATGTTTACTTCTCTTTGTGGGTAACTGAAGGCAGTCAGGGCAGTAGATTAGTCTAGAAGCACACTGTGTGACGGTATATCGATGGATCAGCAGTGCCCAAATGGGTTGTCCTAAGGACTTGGTCATGTCTCAATTCTATTAGAAATTCCGGTGGTCCATCAGTGAGTGCAATTATGTGCAAACACCGTACAAGTACTTGGGTTTTGAAGCCTGCGGAATTCTCATATGGTCCATGTCTCCCCAGTGCACAATGAGGCAGAATAAATAAGGACGAAATGGACTGAAGGGACCCCTGTGACATTCAGATGTCGACTAACAAAACCATGTATTTCCGTCCGGCCGTAGTAACTGTTACATTTAGTGGTAAACATGTCACTTTGGATCAAATGTGTGCGGAAGGCATTACTCAGATTGCAAGGAGATTAAGGGCGAACAATTCATATTTAGCCTACCTATGTTCTTGGTCGTCTAGTGATTAAGAACACTCACCGTTAATCGAATGAGCTCCATACGTGTAAAACGCACTATTTGAATATCTTTTAAAGTGGTCCGTCAGAAGTAACATATAGGTAATACGTCATTGAGGGATTAGGCTGCTTCTTTGATTTGGCTCGGTTATGAAAATGCGTGCAAACCGGACTCTGATCACTGTCACTTTATCCCTCAAACCGGTTGCGTGCTCTAAGGACTGTCATAAAATTGGTATGCTTGGTTACTTAATTAAGAACGCAGGTGTCTTGTCATTCTGTTTTACTTAAAAAAGTTTTCAGTATTTAAAGCTAAGATCATCCTCGAAGAGCAGGGCCACTTAAACTTAAAACTATACCTGGGCCTGCGTAATGGCGGTGACAGATATCCATTCAGAAGGCATTGACTTGGACGCCAGAAATGCAATAATTGCCAGTATGTTACCAAAAGCGCGCCTTAGACCAATGCATCCAAGCTAGAACTCTAATCGACAATAATCACGCAGCCCATGGAGATGACATCTTAGGCGGTGTTTAGTTCAAGTGTATTTGCTTTGTCTGCTGAAACACAACATTCCATTACATTATCCATACTCGGAAACGTAGACCGAATAGTATTGGATGCCCCTTTTTGCTAAAGCGGCATTTGAATGCTCATGCGACGTCCTTCAATCTTGAGGCGTAGTGTTGATTAACCGTTCCGAAAGAGGATTACCAATGGAACCTCTGTGTGGCTGCTTCTATGAAATACGCAGTTTGAATTACAAACCAATTTCGGTACCCCAAAGTATCCTCTCTGCTTAGTCAACGTACATGCCGTCGAAAGACATAATTACATGAGGATCAATGAGGAGACAAAGAGTCGCACATAGATGGAAGGCAAGGGGGTAGTGGTATTATTATTATTATCAGATGCAGCAAAATCGTCCCCGAGTTTTATAAAAGAGAGATTAAGCTGGATTAGGTTCAAAAAGAAAATAAGTTTGACGGAAACTCAGGAACTGCGTCTATCGGATGAGTCCTGGTCCTCGTTTGTCGAAGAATTTTCAGCAGCCTTGTGTGTAGTGTAATGCGGCTATTATTATTATTGCTCATTATCAAACAAACAAATTCATGCTTCCCGTGACGCTTTGCTTGCCGAATAAAAATGTTTAAGTGGAAGTGCTGTAGAATTCTTACAACAGATGGGTCGTCGTTGGGAGGTTGCAATGTTTATACTCGTTCAGTCCCGTGACGATACCCATTTTTAGTTCTGGTTAATGAGTGTGGAAAATTTCTAATATTCGCAAGCATCTACTCCAGTCATAAGGAAAACATATACTGGCGCATATCTCAAAGCTGTACGGCGTAATCTCTTCAGGACGGTGTGTTGCTTCTTACAAGAGTGTTCGCACTCTTCAGAATAACAGGGCTCATGTAATAGAGTTCAATAGGAACCTGAATTATGCAATAGGATCTACAATAATACTAATATTATAATGGTGTAATAATACTGTGATAATTGCAACTTCCTTCCATATCATGCATTTCGCTATGGCCATTTCTTGAAATATGCATTATTACGGCCGTGGAGTATATGATTGGTTCCATAATCATATGGGTTGCATAATGGAGATGTTTGATATTTTATTGTGCTCGTAGCCCTGGCTGCACTTGATGGTTTAGGCTATATTGTTCTTAATTATTACGGCATCAGCGTTGTGTTGATGGAATCGCTCAATAACACATCTTCTGTACTAGTGTATCCAGGTGGTTTCCGAAATCTTACAATAGATGCAACCTATGTCATCTTATTGACGAGGGCACATTCATTCAAGTGGCCACCACCGATATCAAGTGGTAGTGTGTAAGGAATGCTGCAAACAGTAGTATACCGGTTGATCTACGTGGGATTCAACGTAATCAACCATGCGTCATTTTAGATGATTGTTTTGGGAGTCAGGATGTGCCTTTCTGAAGGCTCTTGGACGAAGATTCACTGGAGCTACTGAGAATACGATTTTTGCGTTTCTGTTTGCTACATTTTTTTGGTATGGAGTAATGTTTCTTGAGACCTGCCTTTTAATTCTCCAACTTTCATTTTCTGCATGCTTTGCAGAGTAACCAGGTCAGACGCACTTACTTCCTCTGGTTCCCTCTTACCAAGATAGCAGAATTAGACGGTAATATAGTGATGGGTTTGTGAACCACTTTGTCCACATATTCCTGTTCCAACAAGCTTACATGAACTAACGTTCACAACTCTCTAAACAGTCTTTTGTGGAAGGGAGAAGCAAAATCCAGCACGTTTAATATGGTCATGTGCATATCTCCTTGCACCTAGAAACGTATTCATTTCCTTTGTTTGTCTCTGTAAGACCATCTCTTTCTCAGCGTTTTGAACACAGGTTTGGCAGTTTTGATGCGTTATACAAAAGCGTCTGATCAGCCTGATGCAGCATATCCTACATGCCTTCCAAAGGAATGATAGCATGTGATGTCTCAGTCAATGAAATTGCGTTGACTACACGCAAATTTACTTGATGTAAGGAGAACCTACAGCTGTGCGTGGAAGCTGATTGTTGCGATCCACGTGTGACCACGTGTGAACAGCCTTCAGCTGATAGAAAGTTGAATGTACACTGTGGCATAGAATTAAAATATTTCAATTAAGAATGTGTTTTATCGAACTCAATCTTTGTCCATCTTGCTGGTGATAAAGTTTGAAACTCACTGACAGATCTCTATTGGTTTCGCTGTTGGACTCATCGGCTGGGCACGTATTCCGAGTATTCCTCAGGAGTACGTTCCTATTGAATACCAATACAATTTACATATCGGTGTATTTTATCACTTGCATGTAGTATAGTTTCCATCTAAGATATATAATTGGTGAAAATTTAGAGATTACACCTAACTGATGAGCCGCAAGGAGAGCGAAGTGGGTAATGGGCAGGTATTTATTGGAAAAATGTCGTAAACGAAAGTCCCAGATAATTCCCCTGATGGCATTTATTGAGTTAGTGCAATTCGAGTCTGTCTGAATTCTGGTGCATCCTCAAAATGGGTGGTAGTTGGGGGTGACATCACTGAACTGAAAGCCTAAATGACTGTTTGACTGTTAGGTTTTTATGCGGTCATTCTTCAAGAAGAGAAAAATGACGTTGTCAGTCCAATGCACACAATATTGGTCAACGGATTTTTTTACTTAGAATTAGGCTGTGTCAATTGCCCTTGAATTCACAAAGGCAACAACCAGAACTCCAAACTTCGATTTTACTGGAAATTAATCGATGTTGCCAATATTGTGGGGTATAGGTAGCTCGGGTATGCTGCTTGGCTGACGGTCTGTTTGCTACCACGACCGGCGAATATCGTTCACCACACGGTCAGCATATGGACAGCAGATGGCTGTACACTCAGAGGACACACCGGAAGAATCATCCGGGTGAGGCAGCTGACCACCGTAGTAGAGATAAATCCGCTTTTAAAAAATGTCAACGCTCTTCGCCTCCGACTTCTTCAGAAATATCATCAGTATTTAGCTGAGGTAAAATTCTTTCATGACTCAGCTATTCACCTACCAGTTCCTGAAATTAGGGTTCAAAAAATTGGGCTTACACAGATATACGGATAAAACTTGGTTAAACAGATGTAAAACACATTAGTTTCGACCATTTTGCTAGGTTCATTGGAGAAAAGATGGTAGCTGGTCTCCACATAACAGCCAGGTGACTACCTCGATTTTCCTTGGGAAGTTGTCGGTTAGTGGGCTGAAAATAACTGCTTTGTGATTTGAAACACATCTACCTGACTAGGCACCATTTTAACATCTGGCTTTTTAGATCATCGTGATTAGGGAGTGTAATGCGCACGCTAGTGGAAATTCCGCCTCGCAGCGTTCAGTCTGTCCAACCAGGTGCTTAGTAAGGGCAACCGAGATGATGACAATCCATGGCCCGAAATGGAAGTATGAATTTCAGCTGGAACCTATCCAGATTGGGGCCACCAAGACACTGAGAGACAGTATTCATTCACATAGTTAGAAGTGTTCCCCCGCGTTAATGCTATCATGCTGAGTGCGTGGTTGTCCGGTTCATCTTACTTTCGAATTCCTAGATTGATTTCATAAGAAACTCACTGACTGAGCCATCGCCTCAAATGCGTAGACATGTCTCGCTCGCTATTCCATTTTCCGGTGACCGACACTGTAGTGGTTATGTTACCTGAAACCAAAGTTACGTGGTTGATGACTGTTGAATTGAGTTGAAGTAAGCAAAACTGGAATAATTGGTTGTTACCACCGTCATCTAATATGATTCATGATTGCTCATTACTAATTGAATATCTGCACCTTGACAGTAGCTCTTTTGGTGTGTTTCTTATGGGCCACGTAGCGCGTGTTATTAACTCACTGTTCGGGTAAATCGTAATGTATATGACAGTGGTCTGCTTCATCCTGAGTGTTTCTGAGGGTTCACTCTAAACCAACGCACCTCTCTTTCTCAGTATTTCTCAGTATTGAAGACTCCTTCTTTCCGAGCTTAGCTCTACCGTGTTTGTTATTCTTCTACAACATCATCCACATAATTTAGGGCCATAAAGTTATTGGTCGAATTACCACCTGACCTGTAAGATGCTACTCCAGGCCACCATACAGTGGAGCTTCACTTAGTGCAACAGTACTACATTTTTAAAATAGCGGTTTTGTAACATTGTGGCAAGCAATAGTGTCGGGTATTTGGACGATATTTCAGGTCGGGTATATCCGCCAGAACTATTCCAAGGCTGAGGCACAGGGTAGTGGATGAGTGTGCTGCTGTGAGGATTCTATCTTTACCAGCCTATCTGGCGTTGTTTTCGTTTAGACCCTTGTGATATGCTTTGACAATTACTCAGATGAGGACACTGGGCTAGCCTTCCGACAAACTGTTTTATAAACCGTAGAAACACAAGACGGGTTGAGAGTCAGCGTGGATAGCGGGCATAAGTTCAGAGAGTAAACAAACGATCCGATCTCACAGGTCACGCGGCCAATGGTGGTGTTGTAAGTAAGCTATCACCTTCAATGCATATCCCTCACAGCCATCCATACCGGACAAACGAAGCCACTTGAAGTTGTTAGGAGAAACAATTCGGAACGTATCTGGACTACATAACTGTTAGTGAAATAAACGTTTTGGCTGAGACCATCCCGGTGTTTCTTTCTATTTTGCCCTTGAAAGTTAAATTCAAATTTTAGTGTAACTTTCTGGCTCACCTAGAACTTTGCACGTAAGCATCATAAGCAGCCCATTTTCAGCTGTATTGGACTCTCCGGTACGTATCCGTGTTCAGCAGATGAGCTGATTCGCACTCTCATTGGCTTTCTGGTTTGGATAAGCACATCAAGTCGTCAAGGGCTATGCAGACTCGGGTTCACGATATTAAGAAGATATAAGGAAACGAACTGATAGGGACCTGGTCCCCGGCATGTTTCTGTCATATCTTTTGAGTATGTATGGTCTATACATGATAGCTGGTCAACCAGAGGTCCAGATAAATTCAATATTGAGGGCGATCAGACGATTCTATCGCGAATTATAAGTCGTTTAGCATATTCTTTCCGTTACAACAACTCGTTTCTATGTACAGCACCCCCTAAAATGACCGCAAAAGTCAAATGTGTGCAAGTTAGTTGGACAGGCGGTCGCATCAGTGATAGAGGGCCCGGAATGGTTTAGTATCAAAACTCATTGTTTGGTTTGTCAGAAAGAGTCGTTTTGGATATGACTGTGTGCCGAAGAAGACTGCATGATAAAATCAGTAGTGAGTTTTCAATTGGGCTCGGATGCTTAGTTTTAAAATTGATTGAATGTCGGAAAGCAGTCAGTAGAATATTCTGGTCCTGATGAACTTGAAATATAACTATAATTTCACTAAGTGCAAGAGTTTATTTGGTGGGTTCAAGCCTAACAATATCTCTCTGTCCACTTGGAGCATTCGATGAGAAGCGTGTGACTTTATTCGAAGAGCTCATGCGATATTTGGGTTCAATTTCATCAGCAGAACTTGTATACTTAAAATCGGTATCACCTTCCACACTCCTAGTCGAGTTGTTATGATGAAGTGACTTCATCCGTGACGAAAGGATATCAGGAGCACTTTTATGCTAGTAGCATCTGCTGCCAGTCACTATATTTACACAGATTAAGTCAGCTGACTCTTCTGGAAGGATTCATGTTTTGGTCCCGCTCATCTAGGTTTTCATCTCGGGTTCTGATCCGGTCATATGAGAGTGACAACTTGGTTCGTCTGTGGAGGGTTCTCTATGTTTGCAACGAGGCTTTCATCAGATACTTGGCTTCTAAATAGTGCTGAACCACTCATGTTTTCTTTAAGTTAGTTTACGCTTCTGTCAGCTGGCCTGTGGGGATTTGTCACAAAATTCCTCGACTGAAGTGCTCTAACGTTCCTACATAAATGTGAAGGCAACTTGGAATTTAGTTTGAATACATTAAATATCCTAATGCGGACAGTTAAAACGGTTGACATACGTCATTGGTAGTAAATACGGCGACTCGTCTCACACTCAGAATACAATACTACTCATAGCTTCCGCACACTCAGAATACAATACTACTCATAGCTTCCGCAGACTAAATTATAGCTTCCATTTACCACGGAATTTTTGCCTGTACTTTGAGTCGGAATAGTAACGGCCATAGTGTATTAAAAAGCCTATTTTCATTCTAGAGACTACCGTTTTGGAAGCAATGCTGATAACGAGAATCTTTCTACCACTAGGATTGTTCGTGTCTTTTTCATCAACTCATCATGACATCACTAGGGCGGGGGTCATTTCACATCCTAATGCTATTTGCTCCGTTTCGTTGCAGGTGGTTTCATGATTCTTAGCATCCGTGGTCAAGTCGTTCTTGTTTAAACAGTACTAATGATGTCCTGGGGCACTCATTTTGGTGAGTTCACACAAAAGCGTGGGTAAATTGGCCTAAAATGTTGCTCATACGCCGTGCACATCCGTGGTAGAGTCGATGCCTGACCTCTGGCACGTTTTAGAAGAAGACAGTGGCAACCATTCAGTATGCCGGAGTTGAGTAAATTAGACTTTAACTCCAGGAACCCAGAGTCAAAACCATGAGATTTCGAAATTACGAACAAGTAAACTCAATTTATTTTTAAACTTGAGAAGCTCCCAAAAGCGAGATTTCCTCACTTCTGCACCGCAGGACCAAAATGAAGCTAAGAGTTGGTCTTCAAATAGACCAGTGGTTTTTCGCTCGGAATGTGCTACATTATTGGAAACTCTACATACGAGTTGGCGCACCAGTAACTGTACTTCGTTGATGAGCGCTTCAAATAGCCTCATGAAAAATTATGTTTTTGTTCCATCTAGGAATCGAATAAAAAATTACGATCCGAAATGGTCAACGGACAGAGAGCACTAACCGACAGATTACAAGCTTTGATGAACGAAGTGGATGAGGCGAAAAAGCAGCGGGCCGCCGATGCTGTGGAACTTGCACGACTACGCAACATACTCATGCAGTTGGACGCCAGATCATTACTACCAACGGATCAAAAGTATATCAACGCGTCCAGGCAACGCCAACAACAATTCCAGAAACGAGCTGGAGACCGAATGGACGAGAGACTTCAGGAGACCGATGACAACGATGCTGACTCAGTTTACGAAGAAGAAGACGTCCCTTCACTGTACAAACCGATGATAGGGGATAGTTGTGGTGGGCTAGTAAACAAAAACGGTGACACCACTTCCCCGTCCCCACACTCAGTAGCAAGCAACAAAAATTCTAGTGCTCCTCCTCTTCGACCAAGGCCAACCCATCCGGCCAGTTACTCTAGGGGATAAAAGGCATGTCGAAATAACTAGAAATGCGCACGTGCCGATTTCGTTTTTTACTTTGAAAATTATCTAATATTGTACATATGATTTGTCAACGTTCCTTACAAATGCTGTGATTGAACCATAACGTTTCCTGAAACAACAAAAATTGCTTCACCTACACAAAGGACATGTAACCAAAAGAACCGTCTTTCCTGCGACCTTTGTCGATTTTCGATATGAATGAATGTTTTCTGGACGATCTCTCGAACCTAATCGTACGAGTCGAATAGCAACAGTTTCTCTAACGGCTTACCCCAAAGCATTTACGCTTAACTATTGATTTCCCCTATTTGACTGCCAGAAACCTGCAGACGATCAACCAGTCTTCCCCGTTCATCTGTGCGGTAATTTTCACACAATCCACTGCACAATTTACCATTCCTCCTGCTGATTTCGGTGTCCTTGCTGGCACTGCGTCCATACGTGTTGTCATTAATGTGACTGAGTTTCCAGAGATACAGAGCTAGTGTTTTGACAGAACACTTCCTAGTTTGAGGAAGTCAGGCTTGAAATGAACAATTCGGAGAATGACGGGTACATAGGGAACATCCGTCACTCATTTGATCAACCCCAAAATAATATTTATTATATTTTCCACACGGTTGCCAAAAGCCATGTTAAGGGCAACCGCAGGGACTTCAACCTGCCTTCTTTAGATTGACGGCCTTGTCCACTGAGGTAATTCAGTTCGGTGGGTACGTCATGATATTCGGATGAGCTATCAGTTACTGTACTGTTGGCAACACTGTTTTGCTCACAATAATTTCATCAAGCGTGTATTCAGGTTTCCCGCACGCCCTCCGAAAAATGCAGAGCGTGTTCTTGGGCCTCTAATGTATACATATGAAATTATAGAATTACGTGAAACTCTTGAGAAGGCTATCGCGATGTGCCAACGGGTTGAATTCTAAGAAAGCCAATAAGCCGGCAAAGATGTTCCCTCTCCTACTCAGAAACAGACCCATTGCGAACGAGTTTCAGTTAGTCGGTTATGCACTGGTTCACAAATATTTCTTTCGCTTGATGGTTTACCGCTTTCATAAAATTCCGCATGCCGAGTGAAACACAATCGAATTGCAAAAGAATAACGGGCGAGTGACGTGACGAGGCACGCAATTGTTTTCTTAAAGTTAAACAACGAAAGTCGTTGCTCTGATATCATTTAGGAAAAAGTGGATAGGTACCGGATCACAACAGACCTAACGATTGTGTCCACAGGGTGGAGGGATTTTGGTACGCAGTTGCGCACACATCAAGTATGAAGTGAATGCGCACAGTCGCATACAGTATATCAGTATGGTGGCTTACCCACGAAACCTGATGTCTTGAAGACTCTTTAGTTCTCCAGAGCAAACACGAAAAGTGTGCAGAGAAGACTTCGGCTTCAAGATGGATACTCAGTGCAAAAAAGTCGAAACCAGTGAATACAGTAGAATGCTTCCTGTATAAAAAAATTGCCATTATGGGATACTAGCAAACACTCGCTTACATGAATCGCAGTGCATTAAAAGTAGATCTAGAGTACATGTACATATATATGTATATATATTGAAGATATTTCATACTCTAGGTCAACAAAATATGCCAATCACTTCACACATTGTGAAAAACAGTTTTCCCATGTTAAGTCTTGGACTAATTAAACGTTTTTAAGGGGTGCTTTCAAAGTCAGGGTGAGAAAGTTAATAATGCAGAGCATTTTTGACTGCAGTTGAAATTAGCGTTTCTGAAACAAGTATCAGTCGCTTATTAATCTAGCCTCACGCGGCTTTGTAAAGATAAAATCTGATCTAAGCCACCAGAGTTATTTCATCGGGTCTTTGTCATTCTGCGTCAATTGCTTCGCGTGGAATGTGGGTGCAATGCTACAGAAGTATCGTTTCGCCTAAAAATTTTCTGTTCCATTCTCACCACCTGTAGCGATGGCAGCCTTTTTCTGTTATAGCGTATGCTAACGTCCATGATTTCATAGATACAAATCAGACATTGTTCGATATGTCACTTGTTCATCAGACGTTACGGAGTAGCACTGAAACGGTTGAACCGTGACTGCCAATCCATCATTTCGTTTCTGTCACACTTTTCTGTTCAATAACGAGTTGTGGCAGTGCAACGACGCGTGCTTTTGAATAAATTAGATGGTTATGCAGTCGGTCTGTTTCCCGGTTGCGATCACGTTTTCTGCGAAGACTTTTAGGAAGTCTCGTCCTAAGTCCTAAAAGAGCTTCAGTTTAGTTCAGTGCAGACAGTTGAAGTTTTCAGTCTCGTGTCGTATTCAGGAACTCGGACATGCATTATTGATCAGAGCTCAGTATTTTGGTTTTTATTGTATTGCATACTAGACTCACCACATGAAAGTCAACAAAACTGGCCCTTTTGTGTGGAAATCCCGGAAACTATCAAACCGAAGGGAATCTTCCCCTTGTATGCGCCAATGCATACAAGGTTATATGCCTTTTATGGATTAAACCCTTAGTCGTTTCGAAGCTCACTGGTGATTCTGTGGCTGTTTACCAGTGGTGATTTCCTGCAAAGATAAAACCGTTGTGCAGATGGTTCTGGTCCCTTCAGAGCAGCTTGACCTCGCTTGCCGGAACAGTCTGTCACAATATCCCCTTTCTGTTTTCAAATTGGGAGCCATTTCCTACAGGAGAGTTTCCACGTTGATCTGTTTGTATAAACAATCGGTTCACTTGCTGTGATAGTTGATCGTGCTAGTCAAGGACCCATAAGCGCAATAACAGTCGAGCACTTAATCGTTTTTCGGACACCAGGGTAATGGACAGGATAGGGCATTCAGCAGGTTGCGAAGCATGGGATTAAGCTGACTGTCTCCCTTATTCTTTATAACCGTTAGTTTGCCATTGTGCAGAGAAGCTCTCCAGTAATATGTATGGAAGTTTTTATTGATGCTGACATGTGGATAACAGTATGTTTGTGGCCTGGCAGCACGCTCAAAGTTCACTGACCACTTCCGGTGTTGTAGATTGTGCTTGACTGTTACTAGCTACTCTCGGTGCCTCGACTAGCAGTATTATGAGAAAGCCTCATGTAGCATGACCAGGTTGTCACTAAATTAAGAGCAGATGACAGCTTGACTTCGGGACTATATACTGTATATTATATATATATATATATATGTAGTTACCTCATGGAGGAAATAGGAATGTTTATTCTCACCGAAGAATGACAGTGGAACTGAGCACCTGGAAACTGCTGAATGCTCGGAGCCACAGACCCGCCACTAGCATATGCATCACTAAACTGGAAACCTTGGTGCGAAGTTCAATGATCGATCTTACGATAAAAACAAGCTCACTTTTAGATGGGCTCTAATTTCTGGGGAAAATGGCACTAAAAATTTCGCATCTGACAAGTAGCGGTGTATTTACTTCTATCGCTTGGGCGTTTTCTAGCAGGTATTTAAACAAGGAATGTCCAAGTATCCATATTTCCAATTTGGATCGATAGCCCAAGCGGTCTAAAAGAAACTATTTTTAAAACCTTTCCAGATGTCCTTAAGGAAGCACCTGGAATACATCGAGATTTGTCTACTAGTTTTACAATTTTTGTTGGACAAATCGCTCGTTTTTCCTCATTGTGGTACAGTTTGAATTTTAGGCTAGTTTCTTGTTGATAGATTTCTGGTGCTCAAAAGTATAACTTTGTATTTGCGGGTTATGGCAACAATAGAAACTCCCCTCAGCCTTTATTAAAAGGAGGCGAAGACTCGGGCAGTTTTGGCGCACAATTATTATTCTGGTATATGATGTATTCACTACTATACGTTTCGTGTTAACCACCATAGTTTCCGACTAACTCATCTATGAAAATATTCCGCACAAAATTATTTTTGTTAAAGGCTTCAAATAATGGAGTACACTGCCAAAAAGTCATGATATTGCTTACGTAAGCAAACGTGACCTGTTTCACTATCACACCACTCTTATTCTGAATGGTGCTCGTCCTTTCCCGATACAATTACTTTGATACGTTCACACTAAACGGTGGAGGCAATGGACTCGCGTTGTCCTCTTTTTAGGGTACATCAATGCATATTCTACATCACACCAAGGTTTGTACCGTGAATATTCAAAAAGCGAGGCTAACCAGTACTCCAACAGATTTATAACGTCTGAACATGCGAACGTGAATTCAAATCCCTCAGTCGCCCATAATATATAGAGCTTCACTAACCACCGGTTGTCAGCCATATATGCACTTTATCAGGTTAAACTTTCCTGCATTATTTAAGAGATCGAGAGTGAAAAATATAGCGTGTTAAACTGAATTTCCATGACCACTCCTTTAATGTGTTTAAGTTGCGGTGAACGCTCCCCAACCATTCGACGAAGCAGTATTGACGTTGCGCCCAACAATCTCTTTCAGTCTAATTAGACGCCCCGTGGCGAAGTCCTGATGGATGATCTGAGATCATTTTGCTTCACGTCCCACCAATGATCGTGTACATCCGATACCGCCGCGTCGTCTGTTGCTTAACCACAAACATTATTACACTCAATCAGATTCCTTTAATTTTTGACGTCATATGAAAAAAAGGTTTTTATCACTTGTTGCACAATTATCGTGCTAGCAATTGTCACTAGGAAGATCCATCAAACCAGTCATATCTGTGTGAATGAATGGTATCACATCATCAACCGAAAAATTGGAACGAACAAAGCAGTGTAAACGCCACTAGAATAACGGGCATCCAAAAACGAGAGTAGACGAAAATTCCCTTTGAACATTCAGCTACTATAAATTTATTAGTAGTGTATAGCTGATTTGCATCATACTGAAACCAGTGGTGTGTCTGTTAAACATGTAAGCCTGGTTCGGAGAAATGATCACTCTAGCAGCTTATCTAATTTATTGCTCATTTTCGTAGAGATTAAGCCCATTGTGCGAAAACTGCTTAAATTTCTGCACAACTTACTTGGTACCTCAGACCTTCCAAGAAGAGGGAACGCGAGGAACGACAAAAACTTGAAAGGCATCTGAATACATGCCACATAAGAGACCCACGCCGTTCTGACTTGAGGAATACCGACAAAGAATTTAAGCATTGGTTGCCTGCAAAAGAAGCTGGTGGTTTTATTTGGCGCCAAGTAAAGTTAAGTAGTTTATATCGGCAGTCGTTTTGCTATACGCGAGAAACGGGAAAATGAAACCTGGCTAAAATTTGCAATATTTTGATGATCAGCGGCCGAATGTTTGTTAGGTATTTTCAGGATCACCGGCAGTATTGGAAACAAGAAACAGATGTTTGCATGGGGCAATTAATAGTGATACCCACGATAAAACTTATGGAGAACACAAATCAAAGAAAATCAGTGCATTTAGTTATACCGAAAAAATCCACAACTCCGCTTACCCGTAAAGTCCAAAAGTGTTGTTACTGGTTAATGTTCAAAGAGCCATTGTGAGTCTCTTGCTGCATTGATCACGC